GTACCGGGCCTGCCAGCGGCTCATCTGACTGCGGCTCCCGCCCGGCCTAGCAGCTGCTTCCGGGGAACTGCAGGAACGAGCCCGGCCGGAGAGAGATGGGGGAGTGCTGCCCCCTAGCACGGCGGAGACAGTACTGCAAGACCGAATGGGGCGTACAGACAGCGCTCACTCAGGGGGAGGGGTGATGAAGAGGGAGCTCGGCGAGCCTGGTATAGGGGGGTGATGGAGAGGGAGGACAGTGAGCCTAGTACAGGGGAGTGATGGAGAGGGAGGACAGTGAGCCTAGTACAGGGGAGTGATGGAGAGGGAGGACAGTGAGCCTAGTACAGGGGAGTGATGAAGAGGGAGCTCGGCGAGCCTGGTATAGGGGGTGATGGAGAGGGAGGACAGTGAGCCTAGTACAGGGGAGTGATGGAGAAGGAGGACAGTGAGCCTAGTACAGGGGAGTTATTGAGAGGGAGGACAGTGAGCCTAGAACAGGGGAGTGGTGGGGAGGGAGGACAGTGAGCCTAGTACAGGGGAGTGATGGAGAGAGACGGAGCACAGCACAGGAGGAAACCCCAGTGACATAAGAGGTGGCTCATGTATGGCTGTTGTGAACATTCGTTTGCTGAAATGTTTGCTTGTTATGCTTGTAAATGGCTTCTGAATTAGCAGCCTGGAAGGTATACAGATCAGGATCACTGACTTCATTTGCACATACACTATATTGCCAAAAGTATTGGGACGCCTGCCTTTACATGCACATGAACTCTAATGGCATCCCAGTCTTAGTTTGTAGGGTTCAATATTGAGTTGGCCCACCCTTTGCCACTATAACAGCTTCATCTCTTCTGGGAAGGCGTCTACAAGGTTTAGGAGTGTGTCTATGGGAATGTTTTACCATTCTTCCAGAAGCACATTTGTGAGGTCAGGTACTGATGTTGGAGAAAAAGGCCTGGCTCAAAGTCTCCACTCTAATTCATCCCAAAGGTGTTCTATCGGGTTGAGGCTAGGACACTGTGCAGTCCAGTCAAGTTCCTCCACCCCAAACTCCCTCATGCATGTCTTTATGGACCTTGCTTCGGGCACTGGTGTGCAGTCATGTTGGAACAGGAAGGGGCCATCCCCAAACTGTTCCCACAAAGTTGGGAGCATGAAATTGTCCAAAATGTCTTGGTATGCTGATGCCTTAAGAGTTCCCTTCGATGGAACTAATGGGCCAAGCCCAACCCCTGAAAAACAACCCCACACCATAATCCCCCCTCCATCAAATGTTACACTTGGCACAATGCAGTCAGGCAAGTACCGTTCTGGCAACCGCCAAACCCAGTATCACGTACCTGACTGGAGACTCAGCTGAGAAGGGGGCTGCCCGTTCACCTGTTGTCCCACACCTCTGGAAGTAGTGACAGGGGATGTAAGGACAGAGTGGAGCACAGGTGCCCATACTGGTGGCTGGCCGGTTCTTGAGGAGGCGCTTGAGTATGGGGAGGCAAAGTCACATGGTCACAAGCCGCAGTCAAATGGTCACAAGCCGGGTTCATACACAGGACGTCAGGATACAAGAACAGTGTACAGGGCACCCAGGGACAAGCTGAAGACCACTCAGCAACTTGGACATGGCTTCATGTCTGTTTGAATAGGATAGTGTGCACGCTAATAAGCGTGCACTTGTACGCTAACGAGCACGTTTCTGCACGCGTTCACGTGCTAAATCGAGTTTTCCAGGAACTGTGGGCAATGGATTGCATACTTGTGTGCGTGCACGTTTTTGAGCAGGAGTCCATCTGCAGATAAGTCTCTTACACCCAGACACGTCCATCGGATTGCCAGACAGAGAAGCGTGATTTGTCACTCCAGAGAACACGTCTCCACTTCTCTAGAGTCCAGTGGTGGCGTGCTTTACACCACTGCATCCAACGCTTTGCATTTACTTGGTGATGTAAGGCTTGGATGCAGCTGCTCGGCCATGGAAACCCATTCCATGAAGCTCTACGCACTGTTGTTGTGCTAATCTGAAGGCTGCATGAAGTCCGGAGGTCTGTAATTATTGACTCTGCAGACAGTTGGCGACCTCTGCGCACTGTGGCTGAGTTGCTTTTGTTCCCAGTTGCTTCCACTTTGTTATAATACCACTAACAGTTGACTGTGGAATATTTAGTAGCAAGGAAATGTCACGGATGGACTTATTGCACAGGTGGCAACCTATCACAGTACTACGCTGGAATTCACTGAGCTCCTGAGAGCGACCCAGTCTTTCACAAATGTTTGTAGAAGCGTCTGCATGCCTAGGTGCTTGATTTTATACATCCGTGGCCATGGAGGTGATTGGAACACCGGAATCCAATGATTTGGAGGGGTGTCCCAATACTTTTGGCAATTCAGTGTATGTTCTGGGTGAATGATTCAAAAAGCATTGAAGCCACAAAACTATCTCTCTGCCTTCATTTGACAGCACTGGCTGCATAACTGGCTGCCAATCACTAAGCACCAATGCCATCACATGGGAGAAAGTCACAAAATCTCCATACCCTATAGTACTGGGTATTTATCTACAATCATGGAAGCCAAATAAGAAGGCTGAGGAGACGCTCCAGAAGATCAGGATAGACAGCTGGTGGGGCTGCCATTGAAATGAACCCTTACACTAAAAGTACAATCAAAGCCCAACTGAACCTACAGTTTAAATCAGCTAAATTCATTCTAAGTGCATGAAAACAGAAAATGTTTAAAGTCTAACAGTTTCTTATTTTAAGTCACAGCCCGAGTAGGAATGCCAACATGCTGCGGGGCTTCTTCAGAAAATGAGAGTGAAGAGCGGGTGGGGCTGCAATTAAATTCAACCTGTTCAATTAAAGTACAATTAAAACCCAAATGGACCTGTAGTTCATATCCCCTATATACACTCTAGGTCAGGGGCGCCCACAATTTTTCGTGTGGAGATCTACTTTCCAAATTATGACCTCAATGAGATCTACCAATGAAAAAACACTTGCATTCAGGGGCGGCCACAGTGCGATCACCTGCACCCGAAACCCAGGCACATTAGTGCCTGCGTTCCAGTCCAGTGCAATCCAGAAAAATGCTGCGAGCACTATTTTTGCAGATCGCACTGGACCGGAATGCAGGCACTAATGTGCCTGCGTTCTGGGTGCGGGCGATCGCACTGTGGGCGGGGGGCATGGCTGCGGTGCCGTTGACTTCAATACAACCCCACACCCCCTCCCGCCCCTGACTTGCTACCTGCCGATTGGAGAGTTCTGACTCAACACTCTGACTCTGACTCCTAGAGAGACCACTGCTTCCACACAGAAAGCAAGGGTCCTTTTCTTGAGCCTGCTGGCAGGGGTAAGGCTTTTCCATTCAAGTTGTGGCTTGTTTCTAAAGGAAATATTTTGTTTTGATGCACTGATGTATTTAGCTGATTGAGACTGTAGGTTCTGTTGGGTTTCTAAATGTAAAACCGCATCTATGATAACAGCATGGCTTCATAGTATAAGAGTACGGATGCCTAACTGGCCTGCCTGCAGTCCAGACCTTTCACCGACTGAAAATATTTGGCACATCTTGAAATGAAAACTACGACAAAGAAGACCCAGGACTGTTGAGCAGTAAGAATCCTATATCATGTAAGAATGGGACAACAGTCCTCTCCCAAAACTCCATCAACTGGTCTCCTCAGTTCCCAGACATGTACAGAGTGTTGTTAAAAGAAGACGTAATGCTACACCGTGGTAAACATTGGCCCTTTTTTGAGAAGTGTTGCTGCCATCAGTTTCAAAATGACTTATTTCTTTCTTAAAATGGGACATATTCTCAGTATAAACATTTATGTTTTCTATTGTGAATAAAATATGGGTTTATGAGATTTGCAAATCATTGTATTCTGTTTTATGTAGATTTTACACATGGTCCCAACTTTTTTGGAATTGGGGTTGTACTTTCATTGATAAGGTGCCCAAACACCTGCCGATTATCGTACGATAATCGCTGGAAATCCCGCGAATGTACGATAATCGGCAGGTGTATGGAAGGCCTACCCAAGGAACTTTACCCATATCATCAAAATAACACAGGCACCTTTAGAAACATTTAGTAATGACAATTTGCAAACAGACACTTCTAGATAATTGCCAGCTTTTAATTTTTTTTGCAAATTTCTCTTTTCTTTCCCATTCTTCTCACAGTGGCCATTGTAACTAAGGGCAGGTTACTAGATCTCTCTTTACTTTTCTGGAACTCTGGCACATGTGACTAGGACATGTGACTATGTACATCATTCCAGGGGAGGAAAATGCCTTTCCCTAAGATCTCGTGAGATTACAAATGAGATTCCCCAGCAATGCTCTGCTGATGTAACCTTCCCAGGATCTAGTGCTTGGGCACAATTACATAATCTGTGCCCAAAAGGACCCGGAACTGGAAAAAAAATGTTTGTTTAGCTTATGAATGTAAGATGATTTCATATCGGCATACAGAGATGTATGCTGCTGTGATTTTTAGCCAAAGGGGGTAAAGGTCCACTTTAAGCAGGATCTTTGCTTTTTTTTAAAACAGAATTTAGCAGCATACACAGCATACACTGACTTACACTTAACTCGGTAGGAGGAGCATGTGACAATACTGAGCCAATCAGAGGAGAGTCCGTAGCTCTCTGCAAGTTATGACACCAGTGACTTGTTAGAAGCGTATATTGTTGGGGAGGGAGGAAGAAAAGCAAACCTGCTTGGGAAAAGCACGGGTTCATTTTAAAGTTGGTAATTTAACCACTTCTGGGCTGCAATACGTCTATAGACGGCGGCCCACAGAAGGTGTTAAAACAAGAACACGGCAGCCGTGTTCTTGGTTGTCATTTTTAACAGCCAGCTCCGCTGTCCCGGGACCGGCTCGGCGGATCTTCCCGCACCGGTCGGAGAGAGATCCGGTGGCTTCCAGCCGCTGATCTTTCCTATGATCACTGGATCCGGAAGTGG